ACTTGCCGGAGTCGCTTGATTCCATCGCCGACTTGAATGTAGTCCGGCGTTTCCCCACTGAATCAACGATGTAGGCTGCTTCAAAATCCATTGCAGCCGCTGACACATGCTCAAGCGACGGACCTCTGTATGTTCTTCGCTTGGGACTTGAATGATGGTAGCTTTCTCAAGTGATTGAGTGCGCGTGTGTCTCTTGATGTTGCTCTTCGAAGACCTGGTGTCTTCGTTGTCATCGTCGCTCGAGTCCATGTCGTCGTCAGTTTTACCTTCTTCTTTTTCTTCGTCCTCATCATGATCATCAAACTCAACGACACTTGACTCATCGTTGTAGTTGCGCGGACCTTCATCAAACTTGTCTTCCATGAATGTGGCATCGCGACTGATCTTGATCGCTCCTGTTGACACTTCCTCAAATCGATATGAATTCTGGTGTTCGGCGTATCCCAGGAAACGACAGAGTGATGACTTGGAGTCGAACTTCGCGCGTTTGTCTTGAGGCACTTGAACATACGCGTGGCATCCAAACACTTTAAGGTTGGCCAGAATCGGTTTCTTCATCGTCCACACTTGATATGGAGACTTGTCTTGGTGAATGGCACGTGTTGGACAGCGGTTTCGAAGAAACATCGCCGTCATCACTGCTTCACCCCAGTAGCTCTTTCCCAGTCCAGCGTGTTCCATCATGCAACGCGCACACTCGACCAGCGTGCGATTCATTCTCTCAGCTACTCCGTTTAGCTGAGGAGTATATGGGGGTGTGAACCTTTGTTGTATTCCCCGTTCCGCGCAGAATCGTGCCAGCTTGTCGGACTTGTATTCACCCCCATTGTCGCTTTGAAGGTACTTCACGCGCTTTCCGGTTTGCGTTTCGGCCATCGCAGCGTATTCCATGAACTTCGCCGCAACTTCAGATTTGCTCTTGAGCAGATAGACGACACAGTATCTTGACTTGTCATCAATGAATGTCACGAAGTACCGTTTTCCACTGAAAGTTGCCATCGACATCGGTCCGCATACGTCGCTGTGAATCACTTCGAGGAGTTTGGAGGTGCGAGCTGTAGTGTTTGATTGGAAGCGCACTCGAGTCTGTTTTCCCAGAGCACAACCTTCACACACGTCCCACTTCTTCACCGAAGATATGTCGATGCCAATTCCAATGTTCTTCGTCACGATGCAATTGAGTCCATCGTGACCTATGTGGCCAAGCCGAAGGTGCCAGAGGTACGACTTGGTGCCCCCTTGGCATCCCGACGACTTGGCTGCATTTGCTTGTTCCGGCGCCACTGGAGTCATTTGCAGCTTGAACAGTCCTTTACCTTCACGGGCACCAATTTTCCACTTGGTCCCTTTCGCTTTTCCATAGCACCCATCCTTCGTGAACGTCACTGGGCCGACATCCTTGGTGAAGCGGCCGACCGAGAACAGGTTTCTGGATAACTTTGGGATGTGCCACACGTTTGTGAGCACACCTTTCTTCATCCCTTGGGGTGTCTTCATCGACATGACAATGTCCCCACTGCCGATTGCTTGGACGATTCCATCATCCGCGAGATGGACATCCACAGCGTCAAACCCCCTTGTAGTTCCGCATGAACTTCTTGGAGCACGTCATGTGCTGCGTCGCCCCGGAGTCGACCAGCCAGATGTCGCTCGATTTCGCAGATGTCGTTTCACCGATCGAAAAGAGGTAGTCGCCCGAGTCTTCTTCTTGAGCGACGTTTGCACGTTGTGATCGATAGCGGTCGCCGCTGTCTTGAGCACGCTGTGGCCGGTGTCTCTCCGTGTTTTCTTGGATGCGCGAGGGGCACTCCGCCATCCAGTGACCAATCTTTCCGCAATTGTGGCACGGCCAGGACTTCTTCACTGGTCGCCCTTTGCGCTGATTGTCCCTTGTGATGAACGCTTGACCTTGCGAAGCTTCATCACCTTTACTTCCTTGCTCCTTCCGCTTCATTTCTTCATGAAGCAGTCGAGACGTCACGAGCTCCCAGCTAAGAGTGTCTGAGCGCGACTCCAAAGCTGTGATCAAGAATTGATACGAGTCACTCAGGCTGCCGAGGAGTGTGATCACCAGATCGTCCTCGCAGACTGGAGCCCCCACCGCTTCTAGCTGTTCCGCCAGCGTCTTGAGCTTGTTGATGTGTTCGAGCACATCGTCGCCTTCTTCCATCATTGTCGTGAAGAAGCGACGGCGCAAGAACAGCTTGTTGGCAAGACTCTTCTTCTCGAAGTGGTCTTCCAACCTTGACCATGCGTCGCATGCACCACTTGCCGACCGGACCAACGGTAGCTGGGAATCTTCCATGGCTAGACAGATCACTGCCATCGCCTTTCTTGACTTCCTCTTGTACGTCGCTTGGTCCAACTGAGTCTCGCACTGTTCCGCCTTGATCTCACCGCTGACGACCTCCCATAGGTCCCGTTCCTCCAGCACCATCTGCATCTTGAACTTCCAGGCGTGGAAGTTAGTTCCATCGAACTTGGAGATGCGGAGGGAGGAGGCGTCCATGGCAGCTAAGCTTGAATTGTTGGCGGTTTCAGAGTCTGACGAACTTGGGCTCATAACCTGATGAACTTTAGACTTCTTGGTCCGAGTGCAAAACGCAAAGTGAATATATATTTATAATAGGTACTTAGTTCGCAACTTTGAATACTACCTCTAAGCCTATTATTCGCAGTGACGTCATCCAGTGACGTCACCCACTGACGTCACCCACTGACGTCATGCAATGACGTCATCCAGTGACGTCATTTCCTGACTTCGCCCTTACTGGTACATACCGGTACCCACCGGTATAGCGAAGCTTGGTCTTCCACTTGCTTCAACACTTGACGCAGCTTGACGAGGTGTCTTCTTCACAGCCGCTGTCTTTTCAACATCGCGCTCTTCACCATTGAAAAGGACCACCTTTTCGACGATCGTCCCAACACCGTTGATCGCAGCCTTGCTCGCCTCTGCAACCAACACTTCACCTTCATTGCGCTCGTCCATAACTTCGAACTTGGACTTGTCATAGCAGATGTGATGTGTTGTACCGCTGTCAATCGCCCACATTCCAGACATGCTCCTGGTCGTTGAAAGTCCGCATTCCGGCAAAACAGAAAACGCCACTCAATCACGGTCATAGTTGTTGTTGCCGTTGTAGCCTTGCCACTGAACTTGATTCGCTCCGCGTACACGAGCATTGCCGCCGCGTCGAGCTCCCCGATTGTCTTCCTTCTGTGTTGAATGGTGAAAAGCTTGACGACCGAAACTGGGAGGGATGCTGGGAGTCCACTCGGAAGACCGGAGAAGACACTTGGGGGTAGATGGAAGATTCGAAAGTGATTGATTATCGGGGCTTACTACTTACTACATGATTTATATGTGGTGTACATATAAATCATGTGAAGCGTCTCATCATTCTACGTGTCTAATCAACTATGGTAATTACCGTAAGAACTACGTCGTAAATACTAAGCTGAACAGGCGGTTCGGATTGGACCGGTCACGGTTACCAACACTGGTAGGATCCCGATTACCGTCAACATGTACGAAGCCAGTGGAGGCCATCCACAAGATCGGCCATCGCCATTACTTGCTTGGAGCCTTTGTGCGAAATCTTCATCTCGTCAACATCAAACACCACTTGAAACTTGCCGCTTTTGTTGATTTGTGGTATCGACAGCAAGTTCTTGTTCATGCTTGGGACGTAAAGCGCGTTCTTGATCTAGACTTCGCGCTCTTCACCATTGGACAGGACCACCTTTTCGATAATTGTCCCGACACCGTTGATCGCAGCCTTGTTCCCATCTGCAACCAACACTTCACCTTCATTGCGCTCGTCCATAACTTTGAACTTGGACTTGTCATAGCAGATGTGATGTGTTGTACCGCTGTCAATCGCCCACATTCCAGACATGCTCCTGGTCGTTGAAAGTCCGCATTCCGGCAAAACAGAAAACGCCACTCAATCATGGTCATAGTTGTTGTTGCCGTTGTAGCTTTTCCACTGAACTTGATTCGCTCCGCGTCCACCAGCATTGCCGCCGCGTCGAGCTCCCCGATTGTCTTCTTTCTGCTTGGTCCAGCACTTTTCGACCGTGTGCCCCAATTTTCCGCAGAACGTACACTGACGAACCTCACGCTCGGTACTGAAGGCCTTGGTCGCTTCTTCAGTTTTCACCGACGTCGTCTTGTTTCCTTGTTTCCTTGTCTCTCGATGTGCTCACTCGTCAGCTCTTTCACGGCGTCTTGCGTCCGCAGTTCTACGCTGCTCATCTCCAAGTTCAGCACGACATTCTCGTAGCTCTTGGGGAGACTGCACAACAAGCAGATCGCCGCGTCCTCATCCTCCATCTTGGCACCGATAATGCTGACCCTCGCGCTGATGTGGAGAACTTCATTGCTGCTGTGCTTGGTATGAGTCGAGAACTGATGTCTGTTGGGCTGGTGACGGCTTTGCAGTCGCTCATGCCAAAACGTTTGAGGACATCTTCCACGTAGCGTCGCCGGCACATCGTCACGCTACCGTTGTCGTTGTCCACCAGCTCGAAGCCCAACACGAATGTGTTGAAAAGACAGCGGCTGTGAAGAAGACACCTCGTCAAGCTGCGTCAAGTGTTGAAGCAAGTGGAAGACCAAGCTTCGCTATACCGGTGGGTACCGGTATGTACCAGTAAGGGCGAAGTCAGGAAATGACGTCACTGGATGACGTCATTGCATGACGTCAGTGGGTGACGTCAGTGGGTGACGTCACTGGATGACGTCACTGCGAATAATAGGCTTAGAGGTAGTATTCAAAGTTGCGAACTAAGTACCTATTATAAATATATATTCACTTTGCGTTTTGCACTCGGACCAAGAAGTCTAAAGTTCATCAGGTTATGAGCCCAAGTTCGTCAGACTCTGAAACCGCCAACAATTCAAGCTTAGCTGCCATGGACGCCTCCTCCCTCCGCATCTCCAAGTTCGATGGAACTAACTTCCACGCCTGGAAGTTCAAGATGCAGATGGTGCTGGAGGAACGGGACCTATGGGAGGTCGTCAGCGGTGAGATCAAGGCGGAACAGTGCGAGACTCAGTTGGACCAAGCGACGTACAAGAGGAAGTCAAGAAAGGCGATGGCAGTGATCTGTCTAGCCATGGAAGATTCCCAGCTACCGTTGGTCCGGTCGGCAAGTGGTGCATGCGACGCATGGTCAAGGTTGGAAGACCACTTCGAGAAGAAGAGTCTTGCCAACAAGCTGTTCTTGCGCCGTCGCTTCTTCACGACAATGATGGAAGAAGGCGACGATGTGCTCGAACACATCAACAAGCTCAAGACGCTGGCGGAACAGCTAGAAGCGGTGGGGGCTCCAGTCTGCGAGGACGATCTGGTGATCACACTCCTCGGCAGCCTGAGTGACTCGTATCAATTCTTGATCACAGCTTTGGAGTCGCGCTCAGACACTCTTAGCTGGGAGCTCGTGACGTCTCGACTGCTTCATGAAGAAATGAAGCGGAAGGAGCAAGGAAGTAAAGGTGATGAAGCTTCGCAAGGTCAAGTGTTCATCACAAGGGACAATCAGCGCAAAGGGCGACCAGTGAAGAAGTCCTGGCCGTGCCACAATTGCGGAAAGATTGGTCACTGGATGGCGGAGTGCCCCTCGCGCATCCAAGAAAACACGGAGAGACACCGGCCACAGCGTGCTCAAGACAGCGGCGACCGCTATCGATCACAACGTGCAAACGTCGCTCAAGAAGAAGACTCGGGCGACTACCTCTTTCGATCGGTGAAACGACATCTGCGAAATCGAGCGACATCTGGCTGGTCGACTCCGGGGCGACGCAGCACATGACGTGCTCCAAGAAGTTCATGCGGAACTACAAGGGATTTGACGCTGTGGATGTCCATCTCGCGGATGATGGAATCGTCCAAGCAATCGGCAGTGGGGACATTGTCATGTCGATGAAGACACCCCAAGGGATGAAGAAAGGTGTGCTCACAAACGTGTGGCACATCCCAAAGTTATCCAGAAACCTGTTCTCGGTCGGCCGCTTCACCAAGGATGTCGGCCCAGTGACGTTCACGAAGGATGGGTGCTATGGAAAAGCGAAAGGGACCAAGTGGAAAATTGGTGCCCGTGAAGGTAAAGGACTGTTCAAGCTGCAAATGACTCCAGTGGCGCCGGAACAAGCAAATGCAGCCAAGTCGTCGGGATGCCAAGGGGGCACCAAGTCGTACCTCTGGCACCTTCGGCTTGGCCACATAGGTCACGATGGACTCAATTGCATCGTGACGAAGAACATTGAATTGGCATCGACATATCTTCGGTGAAGAAGTGGGACGTGTGTGAAGGTTGTGCTCTGGGAAAACAGACTCGAGTGCGCTTCCAATCAAACACTACAGCTCGCACCTCCAAACTCCTCGAAGTGATTCACAGCGACGTATGCGGACCGATGTCGATGGCAACTTTCAGTGGAAAACGGTACTTCGTGACATTCATTGATGACAAGTCAAGATACTGTGTCGTCTATCTGCTCAAGAGCAAATCTGAAGTTGCGGCGAAGTTCATGGAATACGCTGCGATGGCCGAAACGCAAACCGGAAAGCGCGTGAAGTACCTTCAAAGCGACAATGGGGGTGAATACAAGTCCGACAAGCTGGCACGATTCTGCGCGGAACGGGGAATACAACAAAGGTTCACACCCCCATATACTCCTCAGCTAAACGGAGTAGCTGAGAGAATGAATCGCACGCTGGTCGAGTGTGCGCGTTGCATGATGGAACACGCTGGACTGGGAAAGAGCTACTGGGGTGAAGCAGTGATGACGGCGATGTTTCTTCGAAACCGCTGTCCAACACGTGCCATTCACCAAGACAAGTCTCCATATCAAGTGTGGACGATGAAGAAACCGATTCTGGCCAACCTTAAAGTGTTTGGATGCCACGCGTATGTTCAAGTGCCTCAAGACAAACGCGCGAAGTTCGACTCCAAGTCATCACTCTGTCGTTTCCTGGGATACGCCGAACACCAGAAGTCATATCGATTTGAGGAAGTGTCAACAGGAGCGATCAAGATCAGTCGCGATGCCACATTCATGGAAGACAAGTTTGATGAAGGTCCGCGCAACTACAACGATGAGTCAAGTGTCGTTGAGTTTGATGATCATGATGAGGACGAAGAAAAAGAAGAAGGTAAAACTGACGACGACATGGACTCGAGCGACGATGACAACGAAGACACCAGGTCTTCGAAGAGCAACATCAAGAGACACACGCGCACTCAATCACTTGAGAAAGCTACCATCATTCCAAGTCCCAAGCGAAGAACATACAGAGGTCCGTCGCTTGAGCATGTGTCAGCGGCTGCAATGGATTTTGAAGCAGCCTACATCGTTGATTCAGTGGGAAACGCCGACTACATTCAAGTCGGCGATGGAATCAAGCGACTCCGGCAAGTGGAAAGAAGCGTGTGACTCGGAGTTCGATTCGCTTCAGAGAAACGACACGTGGGAAATCGTGCCTCTTCCGAAAGGTCGCAAGGCCATCGGGTGCCGATGGGTTTTTCGTGTAAAGGAGAATCAAGATGGCGAAGTTGAACGTTTAAAGGCAAGACTTGTGGCCAAAGGATTCTCACAGAAATTCGGAGTTGACTATGAAGAAACTTTCGCACCGGTGGCCAAGTTCACATCGATTCGTGTGGTGCTCAGTATGGCGGCCAAGTACGGCCTAATGCTACATCAGATGGACGTCAAGACAGCGTTTCTTAACGGCTCCCTCAACGAAGACATCTACATGGACCAGCCGGACGGATACCTGGATGCAACACAGCCGGACTATGTGTGCAAGCTAAAGAGATCACTCTACGGCTTGAAGCAATCGCCTCGCATGTGGAACCAAACAATCGATGGGTTCATGATCAAGATGGGATTCAAGAAGTGCGAATCGGACCACTGCATCTACATCAAGCGAGACGACCAAGACATGATTCTCGTGGTGCTCTACGTCGATGATCTCATCCTGGCCAGCAGCAACAACGAACTCCTCAAGCCAACCAAGATGGCGCTGAGCAAACGCTTCGAAATGACGGATCTCGGTGAGCTCGATTACTTTCTCGGCATGGAGATCAAGAACGACCGTAAGACGGGAATGGTGACTGTACAACAAACCAAGTTTCTCAAGTCCGTGTTAACCAAGTTCGGAATGGATAACAGCAAGCCAGTGAAGACGCCTCAAGATCCCGGCCTGAAGCTAACCAAGAACATGTGTGAACAAGAATGCAAGCACGAAGACACCATGTGCAACGTGCCATATCGAAGTGCTGTCGGAGGCATCATGTATCTCATGGTCGCCACACGTCCGGATCTAGCTGCTGCAGTGGGATCATTATCCCAGTTCTCGTCCGACCCATGCCCGACTCACTGGCAAGCTTTGAAGCGTGTGCTGAGATACCTGCAAGCAACGCCCAATCATGGTCTTGAGTTTACACGTGAAGAAGGAAGCCGTATCTGCGGGTACACCGACGCAGACTGGGCCGGCGACATTGAGTCAAGACGAAGTACAAGCGGCTATGTGTTCATGATGAGCGGAGGATGCATCAGCTGGAAAAGCCAGAAACAACGGACGGTCGCGCTATCTTCAACAGAAGCAGAATACATGGCGCTTTCCGAAGCAACCAAAGAAGCAGTATGGCTCAAAGTGCTTTTGGGGGAACTTGGTGAGATGACAAGCGACGAAGCGATCAAGATGTATGAAGACAACCAAGGATCAATCGCTCTCGCCAAGAACCCGGAGTTCCATAAGAGAACAAAACACATCGACATACGCTACCATTTTGTGCGTGAGAAGGTGGAATCAGGTGAAGTCGTTTTGGAGTATTGCCCGACTCAAGATATGCTGGCAGACATGATGACCAAGCCGATCGCCGCTGTACAATTTGAAAACATTCGCGATCGACTTGGGATCCAAGGTGCCGCAGCTAACGAGTCGAGAGGGAGTGTTGAAAAGACAGCGGCTGTGAAGAAGACACCTCGTCAAGCTGCGTCAAGTGTTGAAGCAAGTGGAAGACCAAGCTTCGCTATACCGGTGGGTACCGGTATGTACCAGTAAGGGCGAAGTCAGGAAATGACGTCACTGGATGACGTCATTGCATGACGTCAGTGGGTGACGTCAGTGGGTGACGTCACTGGATGACGTCACTGCGAATAATAGGCTTAGAGGTAGTATTCAAAGTTGCGAACTAAGTACCTATTATAAATATATATTCACTTTGCGTTTTGCACTCGGACCAAGAAGTCTAAAGTTCATCAGAATGCGCACTTGCCGCTGTCGGTCATTTCGAAACGCGCCTTTAAGTCACTCTTGGTGCGCATAATCAGTTCGGTCGAGCTGCCAGTCACCAGCACATCATTGACGTATACCAGCAAAAGCCCGCACTCGCCACTTGTAATCTTGAGATAAAGACACGGGTCAAAATCAAATACTGGAAATCCAGTGGAGTAGATGAACCCTCATGGAAAGTCTCGTTCCATACACGCGATGCTTGTTTTAGTCCGTAGATCGCCTTGACCAGTTCAAAGCAGTCAAAGTCTTCATCAACTCCGACCCCTTCTGGGATCACGCAGAATACCTGCTCTTCATTTCTCCGTATAGGAAAGCTGTCACCACGTCCAGTTGGTCCAGTGTCCAGTCAAAGTACTTCGTGATTGCAACCACCATGCGCAGCGTCACGTACTTGACCACCGGCGAAAACGTCTCCGTGTAGTCGATGCCATATTTCTGCTTGAACCCTTTTGCCACGAGACGCGCCTTGCATTTCTCGATGGATCCATCAGCTTTCCTTTTTATCTTGAATACCCAGGGTTGATGCCAATGGTATGCTGTCCATCTGGCAGTTTGGTCGCTCAAAACACGCCACGAAGTTTCATCGAGTCCAGCTCGGCACAGATTGCTTTACGCCAATGCACTTGATCTGGTCCACCAACAGCATCTTCAAACGTTGTCGGCTCGGAAATGTCAGTAAATTCGACTGTGTTGGCACTCGCTCTCCAAAAGACTTGAGGTGTAGCATCCTCGTTATTGTTGACGGTCATCGGTTTTCTACCAGTATTGGTAACCGTGACCGATCCAATCCGAACCGCCTGTTCAGCTTAGTATTTACGACGTAGTTCTTACGGTAATTACCATAGTTGATTAGACGCGTAGAATGATGAGACGCTTCACATGATTTATATGTACACCACATATAAATCATGTAGTAAGTAGTAAGCCCCGATAATCAATCACTTTCGAATCTTCCAACTATTGGGCAAGTGTTTTCTGCTCTACTCTCTTCGGTCTCTCCGCTCCGTTTGCTCCGCTTTCCTCGCTCCGATCTACAATGCAACAGGTTATGAGCCCAAGCGCCATGTCGTCCACCAGCAACGCCTCCATTGACAAGTTCAACGGAGACAATTACGCAACGTGGAGCCGGTACATGCGCGGTGTGTTTTTGACGAAGTCCGTCTGGCACGTTGTCAACCGTGAAGTGACTCCGACTTTCACCGACCCGCGAGCGTCCGATGACTACGTCAAGGCAAGCAACGTCGCGTTTGGTATGATGCTGCTGTGATGAACTTTAGACTTCTTGGTCCGAGTGCAAAACGCAAAGTGAATATATATTTATAATAGGTACTTAGTTCGCAACTTTGAATACTACCTCTAAGCCTATTATTCGCAGTGACGTCATCCAGTGACGTCACCCACTGACGTCACCCACTGACGTCACCCAATGACGTCATCCAGTGACGTCATTTCCTGACTTCGCCCTTACTGGTACATACCGGTACCCACCGGTATAGCGAAGCTTGGTCTTCCACTTGCTTTAACACTTGACGCAGCTTGACGAGGTGTCTTCTTCACAGCCGCTGTCTTTTCAACACTCCCTCTCGACTCGTTAGCTGCGGCACCTTGGATCCCAAGTCGATCGCGAATGTTTTCAAATTGTACAGCGGCGATCGGCTTGGTCATCATGTCTGCCAGCATATCTTGAGTCGGGCAATACTCCAAAACGACTTCACCTGATTCCACCTTCTCACGCACAAAATGGTAGCGTATGTCGATGTGTTTTGTTCTCTTATGGAACTCCGGGTTCTTGGCGAGAGCGATTGATCCTTGGTTGTCTTCATACATCTTGATCGCTTCGTCGCTTGTCATCTCACCAAGTTCCCCCAAAAGCACTTTGAGCCATACTGCTTCTTTGGTTGCTTCGGAAAGCGCCATGTATTCTGCTTCTGTTGAAGATAGCGCGACCGTCCGTTGTTTCTGGCTTTTCCAGCTGATGCATCCTCCGCTCA